TAACATTTCTACCAAAAAAAAAAATATATGTCATTTATTAATGTGTTAAAACTTGAGGATGTGTGACATATTATTCACTGTTAAAAAAATAGCCTACGTACGTACCTTTACGCAGATACCACATCCGATACACAACAACTCCGGTATGGAAGCACCCTTAGAAGTAGGAGTCACCTTGATACAAAGTTTCCCTAGAGGAGCACAAACAAATCGTGTAATGCAATGCACGAGTTTCATAATGAAAGCAAGAGAGGACAGTAAATCTCTATAACAAATAATCATTCCACACAGTGAAAGATGCCTATAGCCCTAGAACGAACCGAGTAAAATGTACCTGTCTTGACAACAGGACAGCTCTTCTTGCACTCTTGACGACATTTCTTCGGCTTGCACCGGTCTTCATTCACTATAGCAATCCGCGTCGATCGATCAGCCATCCCTAGACGACGAGTATGCTGCAAGAAACACAAATATATACTACAATATTTTTTTTTTTTTACCGAAATATATTTTATATAATAAAACCGCTACATGCCATGACTTGTGATCATGCAATGTTTAAGAAAGCGTTACAAAGTGGGATAAAGCATTGAGTACTAAAGATGTACAAATATATACTACAATTTAACTGCCTCGCTAAGAAAACACATTCTATATAGGTGGTGAAAAGGCGAGGAAACGAAGAAAGAGGGAAAGTAAGATTGTTGTACCAGAACAGAGAAGATCGGCGAGCTAGGAGGAGATCTAGAAAGCTTAGAGATCGGAGAGGAGGAGATACGGCGGCAGATTAGGGTTTGTGTCTTTAAGTTATGTTCTTTCTTGTCTTATGGATTTTTTTTTTTGTCTCTCTTTTTTGTATTTTCCCAATTTTAATTCTCAAAATGTATTATGGTAAGAGTTAAACTTTTATACATAGTAGACCATAGGAAAAACTTAAAGGCTGACAAAAAAAAAAGGAAAGAAATTTTCACAGAAAAAAAAGAGAAAGGAAAGAGTTATTAAGGTTGACAAAAAAAGGAAAGAGTAATTAGATACGAAACAGTGCGATTCTCTTGGTGAATCCCACATCTTCCTCATAACTGTCGGATTTGGGCCTCCGACGGTGGTTCCGAATCTCCGATGAATGTTACCTTTCTTATCTCTTCTTCTCTGGTTTTTCTAATTCTCCAGAGATTCTCTCTAGCGACAAAGGAGGCTTGGTCTCTCTCTCTCTATCCGATATCGTTTTGTAAAAGTAAAAGTATTTTCATCATTTTGTTTTACCCACTGACAAAACGAAAATATTTACTAGTAGCACTTTTGATTGAAATTTGGAATTTTTGACTCCTATGCATTTCTTACCCAATCATTGTATGAAAGAATATCTCCATCGCAATTCGCGCTTAACTCGAGAAGAGAGACCACCGATAATGTTAAAAAAACAATAATACTAGTATTACTATGTTTGTTTGTCTCCCGAGTCGAGGCATTTTTCTATCCGATAGAATTTTAACCGAGGCATGTATCGGGGGCCAATATCATGAGCTGATATTTAATACCAAATCTCACGCACCACCATCTACACACTACACTAATCCCATTTCGTAATCTCTTAATAAGCTTACACCGTTTTCCAGCTACAAGTTAGGCCCATTATTGAGTAATGGACTAAAACAATAGGCCCAAATGTAGCTAAAATCCACCAATGATGATGATGAATTAGAGCTTATCAAGAGAACCTAAATTGAGTAAGAAGAGGAAATAATAATGAGACCGTTGGCCAAATTATTATTCTTTTGATTAGCTTTAAAAGCAAGAAATAGAGAGGCGTAACGTCCCCACGCAGCACAATCTCTTCTTTATAATCAAAAATCTCCTTTTTCTCTCCCACTAAATTTATCCTCTCTTTCTCTCTATCACTCCCACGTTTCTCGCCAACAAAACCAAACAAACTTTTTTCTCTTTGTTCTTATATCATCAGACTTGTTCAATTCGAAGACAGAGAGGATTTTTTGAATTCGATTTGAAGGAAAGAAGAAGAAGAAAGATGTGTTGTGGAAGGATTTGCATGTTGTGCACGTGTTTGCTTCTGGTTGTGATCGCGATTGGGTTTCTATTCGGATTCGGAGTTTTCAAGGATGGATTTCACAAGATCCACGATTCTGTACATCTCGATTGCGGCGATCCAAGATTCGGTTGCGGCGTTGGACGTCGCGGTTACGGTTTCCCAGCTCATGCCGGTAATAACTAGCTGTGTCAGATATCTGAGTTTCTTTCGAAATCGATCAGAGAATTTGGATATTATCGATTCTTTAGGTTTTGAGTTTTTTTCGTTTGTTGTTGTTTTTACTTTCCCCAATATTCTAACATTGATTCTTCCTTGTGCATTCTTCTAATGTTTTGTTTAATTAGATTTTAGTTATGACCCATATGATTGATTAATTTTTATTTCTTTTTCAATATTGTATTTATTTAGATACTGTCTGATTAAAATTACGTAACGTCTATGATATTCGTCATTAATTTTCAAGTTAATGCAGTTCACAGCTTTTAAGCAAAAAGTTCAAATCATATTTTATTTCAGATAAACTATACTAAGCTGCCTACTTTCTAACTATAATAAGCTGCCTAAGCTACCAGCCTCTAGCATGATAATCCATAAGATCAGAGAATTTAAAAAAATAAAATAAAAAATCTTATTCTTATCTATCTATATGAATAAAGTAAAGATTCTCAATGACTAGAAAAGTAAATATTCTCGTAGCGGCTAAACCGCTCTTCCTAATGACATAAATCATTCTAATAAAAATAAGGATTAATGTACAAATG